TCTGACATTTGTTATTGGTAAATGTGATAGGTATTTTTGATGGTTAAAAACCTTTCACTTAGGTAACCGGGATTCGGTCGTTTCCACGCTAGGCTGACAAAAGACACACACAAGCTTCGTTCATGTTCCCAAACGATTCTCTGCCAAGTCCCTCGTTTTCACCCGAGACAGCATTAAATCACTCTTTATTTCTTGTCACTCCTTAACCAATTACAATCAGTATAAGAGACTCCAAGGCCTTGCCTTCAAACAAACAACCAATCACATGAAAGTTTTACACATCATAATCAATTAATTACTCGTCAAGCTTTCTAGAAAAACACTACTATATATTGTCAACACTAACTAATATTTATGGGGTAATAGTCTTGCACTAACATTCCACAAAGATACCGCCTTAGTTAGAATCGCAAACAAAATTGGTTTAGGATTACAGCTACTGTATTGTATCTTAAAAACTGCAGAGTCATAAGATGTTTTTGGTTGATTTCGACCAGCTCGCCATCTGGTCTTGTCATTAACCTTTATCAGTATATGTCATGGCAACCACTGTCAAACTGACTGAAATATAAATCATGACATAAATTTCGATTTAGACTAGTCCTAAGTCAAGGGTCGGAAATAATCCTGTCCCATACCAATATTCAAGTTGTTTATTGAAAAACATGTATGTGATATTTATGTGGCCCTCAGCATAGGTAGGTAGAGCTCGCATGATTTTAATTTATATCAGTAAATGTTTTAGAAAAAAGCGCCATTTATGTTATTTGTAATGGGGATGTGACTACGTCAGGTTATACCGTGACGTCACAGTGTAGGCATTTAATACTGATTGATTCTACCTGTACTACGTATAATATTGAATTGTTTGAGTGTGAGGATGTGTACTGTGGCTGAAATATTATACACAAGTAGGCAACTATTCAGCTTAAAGGGGCACCTTCCAGTTAAGATTAATTTCACAACAAATTTACTTTCTGGATTAAAATAACAATGGATAACAAAAGATAGATTAACACTGTAAACAAAATAAACAATAGTGTCCCATGATTCTTTGGTGCAATCCATGGGATTGAGCGGTTCCCCTTTAAACAGAGATACACAGTGTGGGGTTGCTTTCGTCGAACTACTAGTATTACAAAGACGATGAAAGTAAAAGTTGTGTCCTCTTCGCGTTTAAACCGGTGTTAAGGTAACAATATGAACAGGATCAAAGTCTCAGATAGAGTTTGACAGTTTCTAATCCAACTTAATTCGCGTAGAGAATGGTTTAATGCAGCTTACTTTCATCCCCGTTTCATATAAATATATGGAGCTTCAATTAACAATTACATTATTCGTGTACCGGCTACACCACCTATAGTACGGTCTAATGTTTAAGCTAATCTCATACGTTTGCATATCGGCTAGAGCGTTCACACACGGGTGAGGAAACAGCGGTTAGCACGGACTAGCGAGAGCCCAAACTACAATAACCAGGAAGGTATACATGTTAGTTCTGTGGTTATATAACAATACTGACGAAAAATCAGAAAGTGCAGATTGCAGAATAACAGGAAGTAGCACAGTTACTGGTATTTTTTCTCCCGAGAACAATGTCCCTAGATGTGCTTGCCTTGATTGTCATGTCGGAACTGGCATAATGAAATGAGTAAACCTTCTAAACGGACATTGAATACAGTGTCGTTGTAGGCGCTTAGCCCAAGTATGACTTACTGTAAGCGTTCGCGCACACTTCGTTAGCCCGTGCCAAGGAACAAAAGTAACCCGTACTTAGAGTTTCTTAGCCCATGCTAAGTGTTCGCGCGCGTTTTCTTAGCACGAGCTAACGTTTTTTCAATCCAACTGTATCACATCTCCTTATTCAATATGCCAAACTTGGTTTTCAGTGTATTTTCGGTTAATATAGTTTATCATTTATACATGGCGTGTTTTAATCATGTAAGACATGGGTGTTTAGAAAATAAAGAAAGACACATTACTGTGTGACAACAAGACAAGAACGAGATGTGCGCAATAATGCTCGAGACACAAACGTCCGAGCTCGTAATAATGGACGGTTCGGAGTCCTTCACTCCAAATATAATACCCCCGAAATATCGAAACATTGAATATACTTGCAGCGCTGAGCTTGAAACAAGTGAAATCGACAATGAGTTGGGAGTGGGTGACGCTTACTAGCAAATGTCATGTGAAAACATCCTTATACGTAATTTTGTGAACGAATCATAATGGACTTATTGTGTAAACGATTCTGCCTTCATAACCGGACCACTAAATGCACCGATCGACCAATAAGAACGCGCAGTTGGAACATGCGCTGCTGTACACATTGTAAATTACATTGTCATGGTAACTTAACTTGGAATTATGTGGCAGCAAACATATTTAGAAAAGGCGTGTCGGGACTGTTTTTTTGTGTGTGAACAAATGAAAATATTTTCTATACCGAATATTATCACATGGAGATGGTCCGATGTGTAGCCCGGTCGACTAATTCTTTATATGCTGGGCAAAATGAACGTGTACACATGGAACTATAAAGGGTTTATAGTTCCATGGTGTACACAAGGCGTTGTTACTTGGACGTATGTCTCTTTTACAATAATGATGCGAGTGTCTGGGCAGATGCGATTTTGTTTTGCTATTGCAAAATAAACATCGAAATCCATAATAAATACCAGGGCATGTTTATTATCGTTTATTATTTTAATTTCGTTATTTGTTGATGAACTACATGGATTAAAACAAGCGGCAGAAGGAGACTCTGAAAACTGGCGTGGCACTTATGGAACTGCAATGACCTCATACGAACTATTGCTTGTTTGATTATTCATGACAGGATACCATACATGGAGTGTGTAAGGGTGAATAGTGCTGTTCTCGGTTGTCGGCAACACCACCGGCGAGCCTATTTAGAAAGTATAACCAATGCAGTTAGGCTGAGCTACTATTGTTATTCTTTTGAAATGAAAGACGGGGTGCTATCGTGTAGTTATAACAGCGACTTGCAACGGTTCGATGATTTACGTTCAAGAAATTCCGGTCAACACCTTCTATTATCTTCATTTCAATGGGTTTTCTGGTATAAAAGCAAGTCGCCGGCGCTCCTATGTCACTTCCATGCTACACACATGTGCTACCGGCCGTGTACGCACAACTAATCGAACTGTTTCAAATTTCGAAAATTGTGAGAAAATATGCTACAGGGCTCTGTTAAGTTTTAAATATCATCGTTTTTTTTTTAATATTTACAAAAAAGTTTGATTTAGATTATAAACTTGTTGCCAGTGAAATTATGGATACTAAGTTAGTCGTCAGTATTACTCTCCTGTTCATTGTAATAACGGAAGTTCACACACAAGGTATGTTTATTTATTTATTTATTTGTTTATTTACTTATTTACTTACTTACTTACTAACTTATTTATTTTAATTTGAGTTTATAACCGGTGATTTAAATGGACCCTTTAATTCTGTGGGTTTTTTTTTTCTTCGAAGAATTGGATCTTATTTCACATAAAATGACCGGATGATCCCTCCAATTAAATTGAATGATAGACTACCACTTACCAATATAACACCGTGACCGCGATAAAATAAATTTTACGTATGAGAACAAACGTCTTTAATACAAAATTAGCGAAATTAACAAAAATAACGTTGTTTCGCAAATGTGTCACCAATGTGATTACAGCGTTATGAAGTCATGATAAAGTCGCGATTGAAATTTAAGCTGATTACTCATCCTATTTATCTATTTTAATCGCATAATTTCACACACACGTTTATGCTACACGGAATGAACACGTATATTATAACACATTAATTCGAATTAGTTGTTCATCAAGTGTGATAACTACGATATCTTTCATGACCGTCTTATCTTACCGTGAGTCGTGTAGTTTACGGTGAATCACGTTTTTGTACCATTTGGTATGTAAAGCACTATTCAACAATGTTCATTCACATAACTCACAGATTTGTAGTGTCATTGCCCACAATGCTGTGTAAGCAAGGGATAACTAAAAGGCACGTAATGAATTCCACTTATCTGGGCGTAGCGTTGCAAATAGAATAAAATGAATAATACAGCCCCCGTAATGATTTAATCAATGCATATCAGTCGATTAGGTGGCACATATGAAGGCTTGCCTATCCCGACTGACCGGCTATGATCAATTAGTTTTTAGCCAGTTTTCTAAGACACAAAAAAGTGGATATTTTCCGGGCGCCCTGATCCAAGTGAAACACAAGGATCTGTACAATATCAGTAGATCAGAAAAATCCTTACGATAACATAGTGCGCTCCCTGTGCCCTTTAATTCGACATGTCGCGTCACCGACACGTAAAGATGAGATGCTGAATTGTTCGAGTTACGGACATCGGGTTACAAAAACATCGAATTACAAAAATGACTACGCCCATACTTCTGTTAAACAGTTAAAGTTTGAATTACTAAATGTGGATGTTCAACAAAAATAAAAAATATAGGTTGCACGTAACTCGAAGTTCTGTTACCTGTTACCTGTTCTGTTACCTGTTACCTGTTCTGTTACCTGTTACCTGTTCTGTTACCTGTTACCTGTTCTGTTACCTGTTAATTGAACAATTCAGCCTGAGCATCTCCGCGAGGATTTCCTGTTACGCAACTACTTGTGCTAACTTACTGGCGCGTCATTGATGCAACAGAAAATCATACATTGATATGGTGATCTTGAAAAATGATTTAAAAACGAAGGAAATCAGGAGCCACAACATGTACCGTGAGTCACATACAATTTTTTTCTTAAAAGCCGGACCTGTCCAACAAACACCAAACTGACTCAATTTAATTTTTTAGAATTCGATTTTGACTCAGGATAGTTACAAATTCAGTCGTGTTAGAGGACACACTGCATGCGCTATCAGTTATTGAAACACTGCATTCCCATTGGTCGATCGGTACCACGTGCCGCTAAGTTAGCAGACGGTAACAAGACAGTGCACGAGGTCAATGCACTAGCATACAAACAAGTTTGTGTGTGTTGTAACTCGTCAACATTTAATGTTTCTCCACATTTGCATGGATGGTTTAAACAACAATCTCACCATAATTCGTTCAGGTTATAAAATCACGTTCATTTTCAACTAGAAATGTACCTATGTTCTTATGTCGTTTGCTCGTGAACTTCTACACATGAAACATACAAATAAAAAAACATAAAATCGGCGCTAATCACATTGTCGATTTCATTCTTATCATGCTACTGTAACTATTGAACGTATATAATTTTTTTAGAAAGTTCCTCTTATCAAATTTGAAGTAAAGGTCTCCACACTTCCCGTGAGTGCATGATAACCGGGCTTGGAGGGAGATGTTCACTCATTATTACATGTATCCCCGCAGTGCTATATTGTATGAGAAAGATATTTGGCACGTAATCGCGTGCGCACCTTTTTCCGAATCTCCGCAACCAGTATGGCGCCGTGGGGATTCATTATTATTGTTATGAGTCATCACCATCAGAATAACAATAAGTTTAGTTATATTTGGTATTTTGTTGTTGAAACGAGTTTGCCCGTGAATAATAGGCTTATGTTATCGTGTTAAATGTAAAGCTATGACGTCATAAAAAGCTCTAATTCAGATAGGGTTGATTTATAACACGCAATGAGAATCGTCTTTTATGCACTAATTATACACATTGAAGTACATGTAGTTTCAAAGTTTGTTTGAAATTATTTTATCCCGTGGAAATTATCAACATCAAAAACAAACTACTGAAATCAAAACTTCCACAAAATAATACTCGCATGTGGAAATTTGAATATACTCTGGGTAACTGTTTCGGATGGAAAATATTCGTGGAAGTCACATGACAGTCAGTCCCTGTCATAGCCATACAAAACTACTACACACGATCGACTTTATCGTAGGTTATGGTAAAATTACAACCACTCATAGTAAAATTAACTAATATAAATTCCAAAAATCGTAGCTAGTAACTACACCGTTGCCTTGAAACTGCCTCTGCAACTTTATGTTCACAATTGTTTACGTTCCGTTCGCGATTGAGCGATCAGTGGTTTTATCTTATTTTATCTTCAGTAACTTTTATTTTTAGTTTGAAGAGCCGCACTAATATGATAACGTACTTGTCATACCACTTATATATGTTTAATCAATCTGTGAGTAATACCCCGAAAAGATGGCGAATGGGCGACCTGTTAGCAAACAGTGTGGTAAAACCTGTGAAGCTTAGACTGTGATCTATGGCCAATTTATGCAGTGTACTGAGGGAGGGGAGCATCGACCTGAGGGAGGGGGGGGGCATCGACAACTAATGTTTAAATATGATGTTTACGAATATCTACACGAACTTCACGGGTGTATCCTGCCAACTAAACACAATGTATATTATTGACTATTCCAAGGCCCGATTTTAGTGGGGAAAAAAACATTGTTAATCGCCGCTAATCAAAATACGGAAGGAGAAGAGACCCGCGGGGTATCCATAACTATTTAACTATTGTCCTTGGGCATAGTCAGAAAGGCGTTTTATTTGTCGCCGGATTCACACCCAATTCCTAAATTCCTTTCTATTATCTTGTATCTAATACTAACGCCAATCAACCAGACGGTATGTCGTAAGTTTCACCCAGTAAAATAATTGCGGCTTTGAATATTAAAGGGAAGACAATTTACGGCTCACAATAACACACCAACTGATTGTTGAACCCAACGTTTAAAAAAAGAAATGTAAAAACATGTTCTACACCCGTTGCATTGATTCTCTGAATAGCGCATTGACTTCCAATGCTTGAGGTAAACGTTTTATCTGACCCGCTTAATGCCATTCTTAATCATTGTCGGCGCAGATCAGTATGGACATTACCCAGGGAAGTACGTACTCCTGAACATATTCGGAGGTATTCATTAATATAAATATCACCACTCATCGCCACACAGACATGATCCTATCCGGGGGGCAGTTGATACATAGCTGGGTAGGGAGGTGCCCCTGAGTGCTCAAAAGTGTGACCATTTTTATACCTTGATAGTGGCAAAATCTATACCCATAATTATACCAAAGTACGATTTCTGTCATCACTGTTTATTCCAAATAAAACAGTTATCGTATTTGCTCTATTAGAAGAGCATCCCCCGAATGGAAGCACATGTAAGCCAACAGTTGCATTGTATAGTGATTTATTAAAATATGTATTTTGACCATAGAAACACCTCTGTCACTTACATAAGTATACCAAATCGAAAAAATATTACCGATATTAATACATATCTTGACCAGAAATGAGACTGATACTTATACCTAAAATCGAAAAAACGAGACCCATTTCAGGGGCACATCCCCATTAGGCAAGTTCTATGTATATTTCCATTTATTTACTGGTGTATATAAATGTGTATATATAATTTTTGCGAAGATATTTAAGAATTCATCGAATCTTTCAATTACTAGTATTTACAATTTCACAGCAGATCTCGGTGTTTGTAGTAACAGTCCCTGCCAAGGTGGTGGAACATGCGTCCCACTCGAAAACAACGAATACAGATGCCACTGTACAACGCAACGACATGGCGTCAACTGTGAAGAAGGTTTAGGTAAATATATTTTTCTTGTATTCTCCCATATTTTGATTTCGTGGGATCGCCGGGATGCGAAGGTGTATTGGGCGGAAGTAAAAGAATAGCGCCACCTACGTATATTGTTGGCTGACATACCAGAGTCGGGTCGATGCCCTGGCGAGTTGAATCAGTCTATTAGTATTTCCACCTGCGGTGAAAGTGGTGATAACAATGATTTGTGTTATCGGAAGCAACGGCGCCTCTTATGAAAACACCTGTTTAAAGCACATTAAAGGTCACGAGCTACACTTTAAACTATTTTTTTTTTCACACGTTTTAATTAATGCAATAATGATCACAGTGACATTTGATGTACTGGTACAAAATGAAATTCATAATATACACTGTAAAATTGGATCGACCAATTATTTATTTTCTAGTTATTTGCATGATTTTATCATGTCACATGACTTATCACCGCATTTTCACTCATTTGTAAAGTAATTGTAATACATGAATGGCGACAAGAATGTATTTTAGTATATCCACTCAACACGTGACAGAAAAAGTGGCTCTAGATATATTAAATAAGTAAATCACACGCGACTTTACTTGATGAATACTATTATTATCACATCTTTAAAATGATATGGGCTTATTAAAGCAGACATCAAGAATCAATGTCAACATTAGGATTTACTTACTTATTTTAATTAAAATAAAACTAAACTGATAATCATCATTATTTATTATTTACTAGCTGTCCTTGATAAATGCAGTCACACCTACTACAATCAGAGGAAATTCCACGTAACGTCATACAACTACCCTAACGTGTACGAAAACCGATTGAAATGCGTCTATTTCATCTCATACCCCACTGCCTATACCATCAGATTAACATTCAACGACTTCGAGACAGAACTGAACAAGGACGTTCTCGAGATTGGAGTCGGGAGCACTGTTGATTATACTCTCGCCCTGCATAGATTTATGGGGCGGACCCTTCCCAACCCCTCAGTATACCTGATCGAAGCTAACCAGGTGTGGATGTACTTTGAAACCGATTTCAACATTTTGTACCGTGGCTTCAACGTCACTGTAGAAGTGGGTAAGTAGATATCTCTTAAGACGCCTTCTAGCATTGTGGTAAAACATTCCACGCGAGATATCCCCAAGGGATAAGATGAACTAATATGTTAGCTGACTGATTAAATTTCAGATGACGACGAGTGTATTGAAGACCCATGTCAACCCGGCTATCGATGTATTGACGAACCATTCAACTACATATGTGTAGGTGAGTAGTGAGTAAACTAGCATTTAGGAAATTTTTTAGGAAATGTTTAGATTATAGAATCACTTTCTATCGAAGACACGAACCACGATGATAATGCCTGTACTTCATTATTCAACCACCATGTATCTTTCTCTACTACCAGACATTAATGAATGTGACAGCAATCCATGCATAAATGGCGGTACTTGTCAAAATTTGATGAATGCCTTTCAATGTACTTGTCTCCCTGGATACACTGGCCCAAGATGCGAAACAGGTGAATATATATTCCGTTGATAAATTTGCTAAATCAGTTCCATCGTTAAATGATGTATGTGATTCATACTATGTTATTTACATTTGAACATCTACAGATATTGATGAGTGTTCCAGTAACCCCTGTTTGAATGGAGCCACCTGTAACAACCTCATCAACATGTACACATGTACCTGTGTTCCTGGATGGACTGGAATCAATTGCGAGTTGGACATCAATGAATGTCTGGGTAACCCCTGTTTGAATGGCGCCACCTGTAACAACCTCATCAACATGTACACATGTACCTGTGTTCCTGGGTGGACTGGAATCAATTGCGAGTTGGATATCAACGAATGTCTGGGTAACCCCTGTTTGAATGGCGCCACCTGTAACAACCTCATTAACATGTACACGTGTACCTGTGTTCCTGGATGGACTGGAATCAATTGTGAGTTGGATATCAACGAATGTCTGGGTAACCCCTGTTTAAATGGCGCCACCTGTAACAACCTCATCAACATGTACACATGTACCTGTGTTCCTGGATGGACTG